ATTTTCTCTAAGTGTGATGATATGTTAGGCATTAATCTTCCACAAAATGATGAATTTTCCAAATTGCATAATAACTTTACACGTGTTTTAGCTTGCCACTGAAAATGTACTATGAAAATTTTTCTTTTGTCTAATGGTGGTGTCTATTTTTTTCAAACTGTGAACAAATGTAATTCACAATCGGTGACACATTTTTGATATAAAATAGAGCCTGTTACTACATAAGCAACACTGTTCAACTTGATGATCTGTCTTCACAGATCTAGGGTAGAGGAATACCACGAAAACGTCAGCATTTAATGGCAATAATTTTATTTCTCAGCGGTCATCACATCATCAATAGGGAGGGTAGTATCCGAACTTGTCGTAGAAGTACTCAGGGTCATACTCTGTTTTCAGGGCATACGGGTAAGAGATCCGGTACCTCCGGGGCTCAGCCAGCCTGTAGTACGGGTACGCCGCCCTAAGCGGGAACCGGTAGCCGATCTTGCCATACTCCGCCAACCATTCCATGTCTGGCTCCGGTTCCGGTTTCGCTTCTGGCTCCGGTTCCGGTTTCGCTTCTGGTTCCGGGTTTGCGGCGGCCATGGCCGCGACGATGATGGCGAAGAGAACAATGTAGAATTTCATCTAGAATAAATTAAATAAATTAGTACACTGTTCAACAAGCTATTAGTTGTTAACTAAGTACAGCTTGTGGAAGGTATATCGAGTGTTGAATATGACGCCTTTGAAAAAATAATATTATTATTACTGAAACTGATACGTATAATAGTAAGAGTAGGCGCACACCGTTGATTTTTCGTCGGCCGATAGTTTAGTCGGGCAGTTGATCAGTATGGGCATGTATGGGAGTGCGCACACTACGCCGATTCGATTTGGCCGATTCTTCATACAATTTTAAATCGGGCACAACTATCGGCCAACTAAAAATCAACGGTGTGCGCCTACTCTAAATGGTCGTATCCATCACAAAAATATTTGCCACCCGGAGATCGAACCCACAATCAAATAGGCAGATTACATTTAGATGGTTAAATTAATTACAGGCAACAATCAATTTTTAAGTTTGAATTTGAGGTATGAGCGTCTTTAATTACAAAAAAGAAAATATTATTTGTTGTAAAACAAAGGATTTTATCGTTTGTTAGTGTATTTGTTGAATACGAAATGTTAGAACAAAATAAATAACCAATATTTTCCTTTCAATAAACACATTTTCACTCACCTTTACTGATCAAAGGTACTTTGATAACTGATACAAACCTTACATAAACGCACCTTTTTATACTAAAACAATGCGTATGAAATAATTGTTTACCAATAAGTATTGCTTTAATTGATCATTTTCTTAATTTTTAATTAATACATTGTTCATTACTATAAAACACGTTGCAAAAAACGGCACAGTGCAAACCGCAAATTAGACAAACCATTTCATTTATATTTTATATCTCACATTTTATATTAGAAGAAAGCAAGGTTTAAGTTGATTTTTTACAGAATTTTAACATACAAAATAATAACAATAACAAAATATGGATAAGTATCAAATAAGATTAATTAAAAAATAAGTAGGTAGGTATCCCATCAAATAATGAAATGTTAAGAATATTTTAACTTGACTGCATTTCACTTAACACCAGGTGCGATTGCGGTCAAATACCTGCCTTGTTATGAAGTTGAAATCCTCAATTTATTAGGGCTGAAAACATTATTTTTATTAGATTAACCAAACAATGGACGTTATTTTTTTCTAAAAGTCAAAATACAAAACTTATCTTGAGATATTTTGAGATCTCTAGAGATGTTCTATCTCCAAATCACAGCTTGGTAGAATCTTCTGGGATTTAGGCAAACTTGGAGGAACATGTTTGATTTTGTGGGCAGCCGTTAAGTTATGACCTTGTTCTAATAATAATAAAGTTACAGAACAAAATATACATATGTACATCGTGGGTTGTAGGTACATTGTATACAAACTGACGGAATTACTCTCAAGTCTAGTTATACAAACATACCTGTTAGCTTAACGGGATTTTTAGTAAAATTGGTAATATTGTTAAGAAAAAAAACTGGTGTCAGACTTTGAGAGCTGACATAGGCATCTGACATCATTAAATTTGTCAGTTGGATTTAGCCCTAAAAAGTCTAAGTACAAAGTGTACAAACCTGTAATAGTAAATCGGATAATCCTGTAATAGTAAATCTTACAAACCTGTAATAGTAAATTGGTCGGCCGTTTGGTGTAGTGGTTCAGAACGGACTACTATGCCGAGAGATCCCGGATTCGATTCCCGGCCGGGCAGAAATTGAAATGATGAATTTTGATTTCTGTGACGGGTCTGGGTGTTTTCTATGTATATTAAGTATCTATTTACAAAAAAAAAAGTATTTAAGTATGTTTATATCCGTTGTCTAGTACCCATAGTACAAGCTTTGCTTAGTTTGGGGCTAGCGGCGCAGTGTTAAATGTCCAAGGATATTTATTATTATTTATTTATTATTTAATAGTAAAGCCTAATCAACTGGGTACAACTCTACTGCTACTTGTTACATACAGATAGATATCTGCTTAGTATTGAAATTGTTTTTCTTCCCTGGGAATTGAACGCAGGACCTTCAGAGCAAGAGACTCCTCAAACTTGGAAAAGTCAGGTTCACCATCATAAATAGGTATTACTGATTCATTATATCATCTTTCTAAGTTTTTCTTCTGTTTAATGGCAACCAAACCTCTCTGGGAGGTTTTTTCTAAGTAATGTAGTTTTTATCTATAAAAATACACAAAAACAGTGATTCTTCGATCTGAAATGTTTCGCAAAACAACACAAAATTTGAAATGAGCCTTAGAACACCTGTAAGTATGAGGGACTGAGCATAAGAACTGTTTAACACATCGTGACTTTCGTTATGTACCCATAGTATTTGATTATCTGTGGGAAGTTATTGAAAAAATGTAAGGCAGCTGCCAAAAAAACTTTCCTATTAACTATGTGTCACTAGGAAAACGGTTTCCAATATGATTGGGCCATTGTCGCTACCTTTTGAGGGCGATACAAAAAGGGAATCGGAGTTTGTTTAATGTTCCTGGAACCGAACCGAGATTCTTCGTAGTAATCATACTAGCAATATTGGTATTGTCGTCGTGATATTTGTTTAGTCAAAGGAAATAGCGGAAACCTGTTACAAAAGATACTCAAACGGTTTGTTGCTAGTTTATCAACCCTCTCAAAGATAAATATAGCTTAGCTGGAGCTTAAATGTGAAAGCTGATAAAAGGTTACAATCATCAAGTAAATTCGTATATTAGACGAAATCATAAAAGATGTACATAACCTTGCATTTTTTATGGAAAACAAGGCAGAGGTGGAATTTTGTAAAGCAATTGACAGTTCATAACGTAAGATTATTCTGTCAAACGCTTTGTTTAGCTGACTTTATCGTACGTTATGAACTGTCAAATGATTACGATTGCTTTACACAATTCCACTTCAGGTGTTTGACCGCAATCGCACCTGGTGTTAAGTGTAATACAGTCTAGGATGGTATATAATATCTGCCCTGTAAGTGTCTATTCACTCTCAATATTGATGCAATTTGCCGCACCATGTAGCTGCAGTAGGTTATCAAAAAATTGTTGTAATATTTTTTTTCATTTCAAGATTTTTCATAACTGAGAATTACTAAAACTAAACCATAGTAGAGTAGAAACTCTATTTATAATCGTAACTTGCTCATAATATTTTTTTGGTAATCAGCAGGAAATCTAAAAACAAAGACACATCATTGAACAAAACATGTACAGCTGAAACAAAACAAATCAGTAATTAGTAATTAGTCTCCACATCCGTCATCAAACGACCATCATTAGCGTCTGCCAGGCCAGACAGAAAGAAGACCTGATGTAGCCAGATGCACCGCTTCCGATCCGGTTGCGACCGCGTGCGGTCATTTAAAAGGCATTACAATTAACCGCCACTCCAATTAGTTATGATTCAGTAGTCTAATGGTCACATAATTGGAACTTGAGGTTGTCAAAATCTGTTCCAAAAGGTTCCCGTTTCTAAGGTCTGGGATCAACTACCTAAGTCAGTATTGTCCAGCATAATATAACTTTTAAGGTGAGGATAGACATTTTTGCTCGTACGCAATGTGACGTTCTTACAAATAGTACAATACAGGTATTTATGATTGGTTTACGACAGGGTGTGACACTGGAAATTTCATAGAATGGCTCGTTGTTCAGTTACAAAGTAAATGATACTCTCACTTTTAACCCATCAAAATCCAATGTATGTACTTTGGATGGAAATTCACAAATAGTCTAAACTAAAAAAAACACTCAGCAGTTTGTAAATGGTTTTTAAGTAAATGTCGGGTTACTTTCGACCAGGATGTATGTATACCTTTAATTTGTATTGCCCAAATTACTAATAGTCCCACTAGCCCCTCGTGTTAAACTTATAAGCTTGTGTTACGAGTGGGCTCACCACAAAAGTCGAGCGGCGGTGGGATTCGAACCCGCGTTCCTCGGATCTCGAGTCGGCCACTCCGACCCCTTCACCGTTGGGCTATCGTGGCTATAATATATAATATACTTGTCTTGTTCTGCATAAAAATACTTGTAGAGATGCTCTGCACTGGACAGGTGGTAATTAAAAATTGAAAATAAGTACTTTTAAATTATTTTGACTCTTAGATTACTAAAATTTAAACGAATTTCAGTAGTTGGACCTTGGAGAACTAAATTGGCTACATAAATTGTGTCGTAAAAATAAGTGAAAGTTCAGAAAATTAAATTTAAGCTTGTTTAAAAAATCAAATGATTTTAATCAATGAATTCAAATTCAAATTTAATTTCAATTTTAATTTATTCCTTATTTGAAAATGAATGTTTCGTTTGGACCTATTGTTATTACTTGACTCTCTACTGTTGTATTCTATTAAAAAGATAAAATGGGATCGTTATGGGTTTTATTTATCATTCAAAAAAACAATAAGAGTCACGAATTTATTTATCAACTAGCATTAGTCAAAAAAAATTAATGCGTAATCTGCTCGTATCTGTAGGTGAAGGGCTTGGACATCTCCATTCTGGCGTAAGCCATCGGGTACCCGTACGAAAGCGGGACGTATCCCAGCCTGAGTGGGTCTCTCTCGACGTACTTCACCATCGTGGGTTCCTCAACCAGCTTCAACTTCAATGGCTCCTTCTCGATGTATTTGACCTCTACAGGCTCCTCGTACATCTTCAGTTTCAATGGCTCCTTCTCAATGTACTTGATTTCTACAGGCTCCTCGTACATTTTCAGTTTCAACGGCTCCCTCTCGATGTATTTAACCTCTACAGGCTCCTCGTACATTTTCAGTTTTAGTGGCTCCCTCTCAATGTATTTGATCTTCAAAGGCTCCTTCTCAATGATTTTCACTTCTAGAGGCTCCTTTTCAATGTACTTGATCTCGATCGGCTCCTTCTCTATCAAGCGGACCTCATCCTTCTCTACCAGGCTGACTTCCATGGGTTCTTTCTCGATTATTTTGACTCCTAAAGGCTCCTCTTCGACCAGCTTGTATTCGCCATCCTCGGACCACCTGACTCCGGGCTCGGGCTCGGCGAACGCGAGGGTAGCGCAAATGGCGACGATTAAGAATTTCATCTGGAATATTTAATTTTGATTTAATGGACAGTTTTATTACTTTAGCTAACACATGGTATTAAACTCAACTTCGCCGCTGAAGAATATTACAAATTAAGCTGTGCTGAAATGAATTTATATTTAAAAAAAATGTAGGACTCGAGTGAAGCGACTTCATTTAGAAACATCTCGTATTTTATAGTTTATTCGGTACAATGATGTCTCGTTTAAAAAATCTTATAATTTTCTGACATGTTTTATTTATATTCGTTTGATGTCACTATTGTTAAGTTTCTAGAATGTTTTTTTAAATAATGCCAATTATTTTATTGGCATTATTTAATAAAAACTAATAATTTAAATTATCATAAAGTGATAAGTAGATAAGAAATATTCTAATACTTCTCTTACCTTGGCTGATTTGCTTGCAGATCACCGTATGATGCTGGGTAGAATGTTACTGACTGTTTTATACAAATATCATTAATGAGACCCTTGTCTTTTAATGAAAGACATCATTATGTTTGTGTTATAACTAATTGCTTCTTACTTTCATTAATTGAGTGTCATTTAATGTGGTTTAAAAGTGCTAATAATAATGTTTAATGAAGTTTGCGAATTACCTGCCAAAGTCCTGCTAAAACGAGTGTATAAACCGACCTACACTTTGGGAAAAGTGAAGAAACAAAGACTAAGGTGCCTTGTCAGAATGATAACTATAACGCGTTACATTTTTCTCACTCAGTAACTCACTATAACTGAAAAAGCTGTTATGATAACGGATTAAATATTAAAGTAAAACATCATAAAAACTTTTACTCATAACACTTTCCTTCCAACAGCATTTGAATCTGCGACCACAATCGTCTATGTAACCCGTAATCTATACTAATATATCTATACTAATATTATAAAGCTGAAGATTTTCTTTGTTTGAACGCGCTAATCCCAGGAACTGCTGGCCCGGTTTCCAAAAATCTTTCACCGTTGGATACGTGTGATCCCTGAGTGCTATAGGCTATGTGTGTATCACGGGCGAAGTCGGGGCGGACCGCTATTAGTCAATAAAAGTACAAAAGTACGAGGATGATAATTTATTAGCACTTAACCACCCCACTGTTATTCCACCGCAATTTTAATTTAAAACTCAATTTTCGCAGACATCTCTCTAAGCCGCGTGAGGCTCCATAATCTCTAGATCCGTCATACTTATTCTAGCTCACTTCACCTGCACACAATTAATTAAGCCCTTTATAAAACAACCCTCGCAGGATACTGAAATCCCTAGTGGAGAGCTAGGCTGTGGACCGAATCGTAAACTGAGGCGACTTTGGAATTTTTGAAATGAAGATCCACCTAAAATTTAAATGGAATGAATAGAATGGAAAAACCTCTAGTTGACACGAAACCACAAATGAAACTGAACAAATAAAAGAAGAGAAAACAAAAAAAAAATAAACACACATAGTACCCCGTGCCGAAAAGGTCAGTATTAATCGAAATACACGTGTACGCGTGAATCCACACTGGTTTTGCTATGCCATGGCCTCTGTGCCATGGTGTAACGGTTCAATGACCCAAGAACAAAAAAAAAAAACAAAAAAATACATTTGATAGGAGGGCGCCACTATCACACAGGGTTAATAAATTGTACGTGTACGTCACAAACACACACACATTGTTCCAACTGTCACCTTCAGAGAGCTGGGCAATTTTGAAAAACAACGCAGCCCGGGACTTACTCTCGAGGCAGCTTGAGCTGAACCTCATAGCCTTTTGTTTCCTGTATTTACTCTAGTTTTAATTTTAATTGTAACTTTTAAATTTTGGTTGTAGGAAACAAAAAAATATTTTTAATTGTTTATTTATATTTATTTAAAGGTTAATATTTTATGACTTGGATTCCTTCCACAGGGCTTACTAAACTCTATCACTAAATTGATGGCTGGCCTGATGTAGCGTAGACTGGAATATAATTTATTCAGTTAGTCTGCATAAATGCTCTTTTGTTCTTATTTTCATTCCTTTAATTTAGCTGTTAGATTATTTGAGATACGATTGTCAAATGACAAAGTTAATTTATATAAGTGACATGGCTCATGTTTGAAAAGTTTGCTTTTGTTAACTTATTGTGTTCTGTATACGAGTACCTTTTGTATTCTGAATCTGAAGTTAAATAAATAAATTGACTCGCAATAATTATCATACAACATTTTCCTAATCTTAAATAAGTCTTAAAGAAATTCTCAAGAAACACCTATTTAATAAATGATTTGTATGTATTCATAGAGCCACTTGTAGAGATTTTCAGGTTGTCAGAGCACGAAGTAGAGTGTTAACTTGTATTTTTGTTCCATTGTCGGGGAAAATGCTAACCCAATTTTGTTTCATTCCAAATACAGGTCACGATCAAGCCAATGAGGAATATTACTAGGAATAGAAGAACTTCAATACTACAGCTTAGGAAACTAGATCTACTTAACATATTCTTGGGATATTCTGAGCATATTGAACATGAATAGTTATTGAAATTGCAAATCCATTGGCGAGGCGTGAGTGTGACACGCCTTTCAACTTGCCCGATATACTTGACTTCGACTTAGGGGTGGCAGATAGGGTGCTGTGAAATAAGGTATACTTTTTAATACTTATAACTGGTCAGCATACGAAAAAATAATTTATTTTCAATGAGAGCCGACTAAATTATTTATGACATGACCTTGTAACGTTCATTACAAAGGTATGAAAAAAAATCTACGATTTTATGCTAGAGCCGTAACGAAGAGATCACGAATTCGAATGTAATAATTTCTAAAGACACAGCTTAGCCCCCTTAGACAAAGTAACATTCGTGATAGATTGAATTTCGCAATCGCTTCACGGAGGGTAGCTCTCTACGTCCAGACACGAAGTGAAGCGAGGTCCGAATAAAGAGACTGTAATATACAGGGTGTCCCAAAAACAATGGATAACCCTGCAACTATTGATACGTCTTCTTATGATCTCACTAATATAAAATGAGTAAAAATATCATTATAAAATGTACCTGTATGTTATGTACTTAGTTTACTATAAGTTCCCCCAGACAAAGTACGAGCACCCAACATTCTGACCAGCCGCTGGTAATCAGTTTACAGTAAGAATCAGTAGATAGCAGCCCTGATGCTTGGCAGCGGATATTGAGCGGGCGGAGCAACGCGAAAGAGCGACGCCCCAGTGATTGAATTTAATAATAAATCATGTTTAAATCGCACCCTTTCATAACTATTCAACGAAACCCACGAAGTTTTAATAATTTCGAACTTGAATAGTGAATGTGAAGTTTTAACGTCTGTCCGGTACCATATACCCGAAGCAAAGTAACTAGCTATGAATGAATTATGAGCACTCAATAGAAAAATTAATTTAAAAAAGTATGCAGCGATTCTAAGTCTTCCAATTATTATCATATTGAATTTATTGAATGTAAACATTCAAAAAGTTTAAACATTTTCCGATTTCGTATAATTTTTAAAAATATAACTTTGTTATCCAGTTGAACTTGCAAATTAAAAGCCGAATAATAAACGAAGGTGCAAACTCAAATGTTGCAACTGGCACAAAATAAAGTTGCAAACTAAAAAAAAAGTTTCCCCCAGCCGTCATAAATTGGGAGTTGAGACGACATGGAAGTGCGAGAGAAGTAGTCGCGCGACAATTCCATTTGTTTTATTGATATTTTGCCGGCAGCCGGCTACAAAACATAGCAAATTGGGAAAAGAGGAGTTTGCCATCCGGAAATTTCCTGGAGGGGAATCCACTGTGAGGGGAGTAGGGTTACCATGCCGCTGGAGTTGCCGGGCTTTTGCCCAATAATATCTGATTTATTTAATTTTTTACATTATTGTTGCTATTGTATCAAAATAAGTAAAAAAAAAAAGATTGAATAAAGAGAAATATTTATTGCCACATTTAAAGAGTAGGTGTTCAGACGATACACTTTATTTTCATAGATCCAAATCAGTAAGCTGAAAATGGTGCCGGGCGGAGAGGTTATTCATGAAAACTTCTTTCCCTATTCATACCATTGACGTTTATTTTTAGGACCAAAAGTAACCTTCAAGTCTAGTTGGTCACAAACATTACTATGAGATCTCACAGTGTGCGTGGACACACAGGGTCACACACGAACCAATCACAGAGCTCTATTCAATGCTGTGCATTCGATTTGCTGCTCCACTTAAGCAAGCATCGTTTGTGAATAATTATTTTCAAATGTTAATGTTGGTTTCAACTTTCAATATTGGAACTTTCACATTTTGATGGTCACCATAACTGTAAGGGAAGTTTGCTTTGATACTTCGATGCGGGGCGAACACAAAGTGCGTGCATTCATAGACGATTTTCGGCGAATTCGCTTCTGTTATCGGTGAGGGAGCGCAAATTGATTTAGATGGGACTTTACTTGTTACTTACATAGTTTAATTTGAACCAAAATGACAGCCACTCACACTGTGGCAGCCATATTAAGTGGATAGACACTAATATTTAAGTTTTACAAAAAATAACACAATGCTCTTCAAGTATGTGTTGCGTGTGTAATGTATGTATTTACTCCCTAATTAAAATCTCGATTTGAAATGTTATATTTTTTACGGGCACAAACCTACGTTCTTAGTAGGTTGGCAATAAATTATTTTAGAGTTAGTTCCTTTCGTAGGCATTGTTGGTAGGAAGTAAGTAACATAAGTAACGTAGGGTCGTCGCTCCATTTACTCTGAAAGAGATGGATGGCTCGATTTGTAGGGACAAGGAGTGGACAGGGACTTATACTTCGGAGAACTTACTTGACTATGTAGGCACGCAGTCAATAAGTACATAATGAATGGTTATGATATCGGTCAACATGAATAGGTAAATATTACAAAGAAAAGAATGGAATAAAATGGTCATTGATATTATATTAGTAATATGTATAGTAAATAGGTTGGTACTTATTGTCGCCAGCGGATAAAAGTTTATTTTATGTAAAATATATATAGATTAGATTAAAGTAGATGTGCGATACTTTAAAAAACCGGCCAAGTGCGAGTCGGACTCGCGCACCGAGGGTTCCGTACAAACCTGCAAGGTTTACAAAGTTCGTTCATTACGACAATCGAGTCATAACTATGTTTTTTTTTTACGGGTTAAAGGCAATTAGATCTAAGTATTTGATATGAATTTCAACTTGATAGCTCTACGCGTTCATGAGGAAAAAAGTAATAAGTTTATATTTATTAAAAAATATATATTTTGTAATGTAACTAAAAATTTAAGGTTTTCGGAATTTTTCCTTTATGTGTGCTATAAAACGTTGCTTCATGCCAAATTTCAAGATTCTAGGTCGACTGGAAGTACCCTTTAGGTTTTGATTCCCTTGCGAGTACTTGCGAGTTTCAAAATATGCAGCTTAAATTGCTGTTTCTTTTGATTGCGTTGACATAGAAGTTTGATTTTGTTACAGCTTAAAGGTATTATAGACCTGAGTATTTGGTATGAA